GTACAACTGTAGCATGCTGGATCTGAGAGACAGAAACAGAGAGAGGGTGGTTGTCACACGGCGTTAGACGAAAATCAAAAGCAAATGATGTGAATCGAAAATTAAAAGGCGCTTTACAGTGTGGCTGGTGCAGCTCCGGGGTTTCCGTTGTTGGCAAACAGGCCGGCCAAGAACTGCTGCACGATCCTTGAAAGACCAAAAACAGACAGCAAACATGTCTGCCTTAGTGTGCTTATAAAACTCATACTTTACTGTATCGATTTCAGTCACGCCATGACTTTATGATTTTATTTAGGGTACGTAAAGTGACTAGGCACACAACAGATTAGGGGATTTATACACATAGTAATACCGAGACAAAGGAGTGAGATTTATAAGACTGCACTTTCAGACAGGAAGAACAATAATGATTTCAAGTTTCAAATTATCACACAGAGATCATTAAATATGGAAGAATATATAATAATGTAATAACTGTATAACCATTATCAGGTGACAGAATTACTTAAGTAAGAGTGGGAAAACTCCCCTAAACACTTAAACACTGGTAATCTGTCCTGATGGTGGAGTACTGTCAAACAGTTATGACCTCAGTGTGAGTAAAAGATAAAACTGACATGTGCTTTATCGTATTGAACAGCATGCCACACTATTCTTTATACGGTCGTCAAATAAACCCCAATAAAGTTTGTTTGTGAGTGAAACTTTTTTGGCTCCTTCATCATTTATGATCTGATGATACGACAGGATGTAAATGTTGGTTCTCCTTTAACATAAACTCTGATGATCAGATGAACCTGACATAAGACCTCAAAACTAAATTACTCACCTCAGGTATTTTATCAGCATTTAAAAAAGAACTTGACTATAACTTAGCTTAGCATTTTGTTCCCCAGCAACAATAATAATGCTAGTATAGTGCTGTGGAAGTTATTACAATGAAATGTCCAAGTATTTCATAATTTTAAAATAAATTAAAGCCTAACTAATTTACAATTAAATGTATGGTATCCCCATTTCACCTATTTACTTTTCTTTTGTTATCCAGTAATAATGTAAATATTAAATAGGTATTCGGTAATTTTAGTCCTTCTTAACCACAGAGTTGTCACGCCATTATTCCCTAACCTCCTCTTTTTTTATTGATATCGCACATGCACTTATATATAAATACACTGTAATTTGTGGGCTGTAATCTAAGCTTTAAATCTAATTTCCTCTTGAAGCGAATCAATCCAATGTAATGTTTCCGTTCACAAAATTATACATTAATTTCTGTGCAAAAACAGCTGTTTATGTAATTAAACTGCATGTTGGTGGTTGTTGGTTCTGTATGTCTATCTTTAACTTCCTTGTACCGTACTTAACGAGACATAAATAGAAAGAAATATATAAATAACTAGCATACTAAAGGATTTTTACTCCATTTGAGATCAGTTTCTGTGTACCATGTCCACACACCCTTCCACTGCAGGCCTTTGTTCAGGCCTGGTCGACCTCTCTTGCTCAGGCTGGGAAGGAGACTCTGGTTCTCCGACCTCAGCAGTGCCTGGCGACACCGGAGAAGGGCGGCTCTGACCTGCAGATACCTGCTCGCTGTCGTCTGGGTCGGACTCTGAGGACGGCGGATGCGACAGCAGAGCAGAGCGCTCCATAAACAGCAGCTGCCATAACTTGGAGAGAGACCAGAGAAGCAACGTGTCAAACAAAGCCTCAGAGAAAAAAGGAGCGTTCTCATTAAAATGCCATTTGTTCTCATACCTCTGAGAACAGTGTGTCTGAATCGTCACTGGTCGCAGATCTGCTGTCCTGCAGGAGACTAGACAGCAAAGTAAAATTCAGTTTTAACCAGTTGGGCAACATGAAAAACACAACTCTTACTAGCCTGTAACTACTTAACTCTACAGTGATCATTTTAAAACTTAGGAACATGCTTTGAAAGATTTTTGTTAACCAGAGAGTCTGTTTCTCAACTCACAGTATAAAGAACAGTAAACACCAACACTGAGCTGTACCTGGAGTCTTCTGTCACCTCCTCAATGAAGTCAGAGTCACATCTGGGGCAGATGAAATCCTTGAAAAGAAAAAGAAAACATACACACTACCCAGACAAAAGTATGTGTACACTCAGATTTCTCATCTCATTCCCAAACTATCGGTAATAATCTGCTGTTATAACAGCCTCCTACTTCTAGGAAGGCTTTTGATAAGATTTTGGGACCTGGTGGCAGAGATTTGCTCTCACTCAGCCACAAGAGCATTAGTGAGGTCGCCACCTGGTCCACAGTCGGTGTTCCAGTTCATCCCAAAGGTTGTTGGATGAGTCTGTGTGCAGACCAGTATTCTTCTTTCACACCAAATTTGGGGAAACAATTTTTTATTCTTTATAGATATGGCTTCAAGATTTTTTGCATTTTATTAGGTATACAGACAGTAAAGGTGGGGAGTTAGAGACGGGTATGACCTGAAACAAAGGGTCAAACTTGTTGTTATATTGTATCTTAACCACTAGGCCACCAGGAACCAGGTCACTGTCATGCTGAAGCAGAAAATGGCCTGTTTCCAAACTGTTGCCACAAAGTTGGAAGTGAACATTGTCTGAAATATGATTGTATGCTGCTACAGAATTAGGATTAATTAGAAGTAAGGGACATAACCCAAGGCACAAAAAAAAAAAAACAGCCACATGACCAAAAACTACACAAAAATGAGGCATCCTGGTGGACTAGTGTTTATAGGCACAATGTTATTGCAATGTCCCTGGTCACATGTCCTCTTTACGCCTGTGGCCACGTCAACTAAAAATAATCTTTAACTAAATGTACCTGCACATGGATATATAGACATATATTTTTGTCCATAAAGTACAGATCGGTCCATTATCTCTGTCTCTCTATCTCACATACAAACACACTCGCGGTTTTTGCGCCATCATAACAATATCCGTGCGTAATGGTGCCATAAAAAGTGTCAGCTGCGCACCAAATGCGCTCCAGCAGTGACTGCCACAGTGCGCTCTGAACTGAACCACCAGGACAATTTAAACTCAAAAGTAAAATCGGTAAAAGTCTACAAGTCTTTCAGTCGGACTTTACAGAAACAAAACGGAGGGCAAAACAAACCGCAGTGGTTTAAGGCACCTATTTGGGGATCTGTGGCATGTAACAGTTAAGAAAGCCCTGTACGTGCTTGCTGCTGCATGTGGTGACACCCGGCCAGCCCCTCTTACGTCTCTCACACGCAGTTGACAGAAGACAACTGGACACAGTCGCCAACAGTGGTGTTTCTAAATATGGCAACGTGAATCACCAGATTTGACTCCCTCTCTCTCTCTCTCTCTAAAGTAAGATATTGGTGCATGCTGTACGCACATATACAACCACCAACCGGCTGTCATGTGTGCGCTTTAGTGATCCCATTGATTATAATAACAGAGTCATAAAAAAATCAATTGTAAACTAGTAGTAGTAGTAAAAGAAAGAGATTTAAAAGTATCTATCCTTTCTTCCATGGGTGGTTTCCAGGTCTGTGCGTGTGGAATAAAAATAATTAAAAAAAACACTCTCCAAAGTGACTCACCGGGAGTTTTGGGTTAGTTTCACATTTACAGCAGTGACAGAAAAACCGGTGTTGTGGTGTCTCCGCAGCCTCCGCCATCTTCACGGTGAAGCGCAGAGACTGACGTCGGAGTGGCAGCCCATAAAAGTCAGACGGATCAGAGAAGTCCTGCAGGGTTTGGCGTCCGGGACAGAAAACTGTCTACAGATGGCACATTTTAATCGACAATGAGCAGGCAACACACTCCCCACACTGTCATTTGTTATAAATAAAAGGTTATCAAGTATTTATCTTGTTACATAATCAACAAAATGTGCCAAAAAAAGGTTTAAAAATTACATATATATAGCTATAAATTGACCTGTGGCTTCAGGATCAGACTTGCCTCGTTCAGTGCTCCAAAAATCAAGTTGCCAAAAGAAACCCAAAACTCAGAGTGCAACAAGTTGTCAGGGTGACATCACGGCTGCAGTTTCCTCCCAGTGTGTGTAGGTGTCGCCAGAGAATAAACAATGTTTTTAAAAAAGGAGGCTCTTTTCTTTAAACGACACAAATGTGTGCCGTCTGGATTTTAAGTTTATCTCTAGTTTCAGTGCAGAGCTCGATTTAAGCGGTGTCCTAGCAACGCAATACCAGTTAAGATATCAACTGTCAGTATGTTAAAACACAATCAAACTAATTAATAAATCAATAAGATGAGGCATAATAACTGCAGTAGACTGTGGAAGCATGACAATCAACTTTTATTAAAACCAAAGACAGTGACCTGTAATAATCATAGGAACCACAAGGCAACACCAACAGAACAGTGACAGATATATTTGTAACCGAAAACAACACACGTTCATAATCTTTACAGTATGAGAGGTTTTGGCAATAAAGGTAAATAGGCATTCTCATTTGAAATAATAACAACTTGTTAGTTAACACTTATGCAATAACAAACAAACAAACAAAAAAAATAGTGTTGGCCAAAGTTGAGCCAGTTAGTTATGGATCAAATGTTAAAAATGGCAACATTTCAGTGTTCAGCTCCGACTCTGTCTCAAACATGGCTCCACACAAACACAACGTATACATCCAAGTCATTTTAAAAAATGGTGAATATCCAGGCTACAACTGTCCCACTTGGCACACATCTTGTTTAGTTTTTTTTTTTTTCATACAAAAAAAAAAAGAAGCATTTTCCCTGCATTCACTGGTACAACGGCGCTAAATTTAATACAACTTCACATCTTTATTGTTTTCACATCTCACACCATCTTTCTAAATCTTAAATCTAATCAATGATTTGCTGACTCCTGGTTTGCAATATAGACTAACTTGTCCTGTACACCTTTTAAAATTAGACATCCCCCACCTCTGTCTCATGCACGTGCCCCGGAGAGTTCAGATGCCCAGGAGTAATTATATAGACTTGGTCCCCCACCCACCCACCCACATCAACTAATCACCTGCGGGGAAATAAATACCAGACTGATCCTCTATCAAGCTGAAAGGGCCCCTCTCCTCCTCCTCCTCCTCCTCTACTTCTCACCCTCCCAACCCCTCTCGTCCCTCTCTATCGGGGTGCGGTGAAGGCCCCCGTGGCGGCACTGGTGGCGGCAGTGGTAGCTGCCTGGCGTACGGCCTGATTGGACATGACTCCGGTGGCGAACTCGGCCTGGGCCTTCTGAAAGCTGGCATCGGTCTGCCTGTACAGACTGTGGACCTGAAGAAGGGAAGAGCAGAGCACGCTGACACCCGATCCATGCAGCAGTTCATCATCATATCATGCACATTGTGAGGGTGAAAGTAATACTCAGAACCCGATATCGGGGCTATTCTTCGCACTGTTTGTTATCCACTGAGTGCTTCATGGTAGGTGCACCACCTGGGCGCAGGTGGTTGAGAGTATTTGCACAGACCAGGTAGAAAGTGCAAATACACCTCAACGATTCTCTTCTCATTGTCTTCCTTTTGACTTGTTTCCGGACAGGTGACCTATACTACTAGATCATGTCAAAGTATTTTCTTATTGTCTACCGTTCAATTTTCAACACTATAGGCAGGTGGCTTAAAGATAGTTAAATGTTGTTGTTGTTTTTGGTCATATAAGGTGGATTCTTGCAAATGCCAGCACTAAGGGTTAGGGTTAGGGGTTATTTTTTTGTAAAACTTACCTACTGCAGCTTTAATATTCAAGTATTATTTGACTTAAACTTACTATTCCTTCACTTAATGATTGGATTTAAATGAGTACTTTACTCGGATTAACAATTCTGATTATTTTTCTGCCCTTTTTGTGTGAATTCCTACATTTGAAATACTACATTTATTAAATAACATTTCATTCCATAAAGCAAGATTACCAGTTAGTTTCAGTTTAATTCTGTAGATGTATGAATAAGTCTGGCCTATGTTACCATGGAAACTCATCCTGCCAGACTAGCCTGGTCCAGGTCAGATTAGTTTTCAGTGCAATCAGCCTGACAAAGGTTCTCTCAAAGCTTCCTCCCTTTCAGTTCCTTTTTACTGCTGCACTGTGAGTACATGTAAAATGTAAACTACATTTTCTAATTCATGCCGGCTGTGTGAAGGTACATTGTCAACTCCAATTACAAAGTAGTTAGTTGGTATAATTAAAAATATTACAGTAAATCATGACGATCAGCACAATGAAATAAAAGAAAAGTCTGACTTTGATCCGACAAAGAAGCCAAATCCTGCACAGTCGTCAATGCAGCTAAGTTCAAACAGCCAGAAACCAAACTGTTTGATCGGAAGTGAGTGGCTAAGATCTTTTATTTATTTAAGGCCTGAAGTCAGATGATCAGAAACCTGCATACTGTTATGATAATGTTTGTAGGTTTCTCATTTCATACAAATTCATTCTGAATGAGATTTAAACCACAAACATAACACAAGTCACACTTTGTCTTTATGCTGTGAATATCCTGTTAATTGGGTCAGACTGGGACACCTTGTAAAAACTTTAAATCTCAGTCACTACCTGGGAATTTTTCCCTGCATGTAAACAAATTTATTCAGTTTTCACCTTCTTCAGCATGACAACCCCCATGGCGGTTTGGGCAGTAAAGAGGATGGCATTCATCATCATGATCGCACCGACGGGGACACTGTGCTTCAGAGCAGCCAGGCTCACGATCCACCCACTGAGGGACAGACACAGAGACATACAGGCGAGGAGGGAGAAAAAGGGAAAAAGCCAATTAATATCCTCATTTGCACCTGGACTTAAAAAATGCAATCTGTTTGTTACCCAAACAATGACATTCACACCTGGTATTAATTATGTACTCATTATATTTGTTCTGTCAGCATTCTGCTCTATTAGGGACATGTATTTAAAGCAGAGGAGAGTTAACAAAATAAAGTGTCTGATGCAAGAAAAAGTTTCACTGCCTTTCATTGAAAACTGTTTTTTTTTTCATTACAAACATTGATATGTCACTGTAGGAAAAAAAACACAGGTGTAATTAATAACTTTAAGTGATGGCTGCATTCCAATTTTAGGCAGCGGTGGAAGAAGTATCCAGATCCTTTATTTAAGGTAAAGGCTTATTAAGGTACTTAATACCACACCGAAAATACTCCACTACAGGTAAAAGTCCTGCATTCAAAACATTACGCAAAAGCATGTAAGTATAAGAAAATAGTCTTAATTTATCTTATTTATCTATATTCTATAAGATCGTCATATGTTTGTAGCTGTCCTGTGAAAACCAAGTAACTCACCATGTATCAATGCATTTTCCAGCTAATCCAAATAGGTTTTTTAACTGTTTATTTAGTTTAAAAAGTAGGAACGTTTTCTCAATAGATAAAGAAACACTTCCTTTAGTTTAACAGGCAAATTCAAATTCGAAATGACCAAATTTGGAGGTGCATGATTTTCACAGGGCAGGAAGGGGATTACTTATCGTAACGTTAAAAGTAACTAAAGCTGAAACACAAAGGTAGTGGAGTAAAAAAGTGCAATATTTGCCTCTGAGATATAGTGGAGTAGAAGTATAATGTAGCATAAAATGCAAATACTCAAATACAAGCACTTCAAACAGTACTTAATCAAGTACACTTGATTGGAACAGAGCCACCATTAATGTTATTAGTTACATCAAATGTCAGCCTGCGTCGCTGTGCATTAGCTTTTAAGGTAACCAGATACAGATGGTTTTTAAACAGGTTTTAACATGTTAAACATGAACTGCAAAGAGAGCCATGGTTTGATTATTAGTCATACCTGAAACCCCATCCAGGGATACCAATAGTCATGATGACATAGACGACAACTTGGGCAAAGAAAATGAAGAAGAAGGCAAAGAAATTGAAGGAGCTGTCACTCCTAGAGACGAGAGAAAAAAAACAGTAAGGATTGAAGCTACAAATTTTGGCCAACACGTATTTTGGTCAGCGTTAAATCGAGATGGTGGTACACACCTGAAGGCTTTGTACACAGGACGGTACCAGCAGACAAAGGAGCATGGGGTGAAGAGGAGGGCCCAGAGGATGGCGAGGCCCAGCCCAACACCACCGGTGGTGTCCACGCAGAACATGGCCAGGGAGGAGATCAGGTTGAAGAGCAGCGTGCCAGTGCAGACTAGACATTAATAAAACAGGATAATAAAAAAAAGGAGACACAAAGTACAGAAGGATGAATGGGAGCGATTGAATAAGAGTGAAGAGCACTGCAGTCTTTGTTGCTTTGTTACAGAGCTGTGGACTAGAACACTAATCCAACCCTTCCCCTCTCTAAAGAAAAAGCCAACTTGGATTTGGCTGACGCAATATTACACTTCATATTACTCCCCTTTGCGTACTGCTAGGTTTAGAGATGGCCTTAGGTCCAGGAAGTCAAGAAGGAAGTTTATAACATTATAAAAAAAAACAGTTTATTTTTTTAATATACCTTGTGTTGAGTTCTTATATAATATATAGTATTATATTTACTTTGCGCACATAGAGAGGGACTGACCTCTCTGCTGACTGACCTCTGTGCTTTATGGCGGATTTAACATTATGTGCAGTCGATATATGACAGTTAATGTGAACTATATTAGGTGTTAAGACAGAAGTAAAATAAAAACCACTGAGTTAACCAAAGACAGTAATAAAGAACTAAAACATAAAGCAGAGCACACATGTTGACAGGAAACATGACAATATGTCAAATATTATTATATTTGCATTCTACAGTTTTATAAGCCAGAGGTTGCAGATCCCCTGGGTCTAGGACCGGTGCCAGACGCTGGAAGATTTGCTACCATTTGCTATGATTCAGCCAAAAAAATAATATAATTATATAAGCTAATAGGCTATTACTCTACAGGCTAGTAATTATCCAACTAGGTCATAAGAAGGAAAAGTAACCAGTCCATCATCACCTCTTTTAGGCAATCAGAAGTATAAATAAAATATAAAGTGAGTTATAGGGAACTTTCACTTCCTTTTTCTGTGGTTTTATTTAAATCATGAACCCAGAAACAAACACATTTTAGACCCACTTTAACTTTATCTCCAGCATGCATACTGACAGGGGTTTGGCCATTACGATCTGAAACTTTGCGGTAGGTCAATAAAACCAACTCCTTTATTTTCCCAGGATGAAGACAGCTGAACCTTCAGTTGGTTCCTCAATCTGACGGTAAAGTGTGAAAGTCTCTGTACAAACATTCCAGCCCGTACTGCAGACAGCACAGTAGAAGTCACATGGACGTGACTCAGCTCTAAGGTTCAATTACTGAAGTCATTCTCCAACTTCTACTAATAAATCTTAACAGGTGGAGAGTTTAGAGTCAGTGTAATTTCACTTCAATCGTCTATAAAGTCCCACTGTCCTCCGACACCACACGACCCAAACCCCCTTTTATTAATAATGTGACATTATGACACTGATGTTGCAACAATGATGCCGGGAATTCACACAACAGCACATTATAAGAGTTACAACAACTCACACAGCCAGAAGTAGTACATGATGGTGACGGTGCGCTGGAAGTGCTGAGCGATCTCCACATTGATGTCCTGGTAGAAGCAGGGGCCCACGGGGCAGAATGAAGGCAGCGGGGGCCAGTTGTTCTGACGAGCTAATAAAGAGAAGAGGGGGAAATTTCAGTCACAGAGCTTTCTTTTGAAATCGTTAAATCAATAACACATTTAGGCATCTTAGGTATTTATTTACCGTAAAACTTCAATTAAAAGCAAGGTCTCAATTAGATGCCTGGTCTGGACTTTATAGAGATTCTCTGGATGTAATAAACTTCTAAAAACCCACCGAGTCACCCACTTGAGCAGATTCTAAGCTGCTTAGATCGCCTACACAAATATAAAATGTTTAAGCTCGTTATATCAGTTAGATTCTCCACAATTTACTCATTCAGTTAATATTTCAGAAACTATGAGCACCAAAGTATCAAATGAATGATTTATAAATCGATATGTTATTTGATAGCATCATTATTATACAAGGAACATTCATACTGGTGAATATAAAATAAACAATTTGATAGTATTTCTCATCTTTGTTGAGCAAAAAGTTTGCGCAAAATTAATTAAAAGGGCCTGTCTCAAATACAGGCAATATGAGCCCAGGTTATTAATTGGAGGTTTTACAGTATTCACTTAATGTTTGCCATGTTTAAGCTCATGCACTCGTCTTCTTACAGGCTCCAGGTCCGAGGCTGTGTGACTCCAGCTCCCTCTCTCTCCTCTCCAGCTCTCGGGCTTTCTTCTCCAGCTCCTCCTGCTTCCTCAGGAGCTCTGCTGTGGTAGCGTTCACTGCAGTCTAACACAGTAAGACACACTGTGTAAATGATGCATCAGAGATGCACGTCAAAGAGGAAGGTTGTGTTTGCCTCGTAAATAATGAAAAAGGATTATGTAAAAGACCCTGTATCATAAGAGGATTCACAGAGGAGATGCTTTCAGGGTACGTATGTGAATTTATGTATCAGCGTTAGGTTAGTTAGTTAAGATAAGATGTGGTTTTGCCTTTTGGTTTCTGCCTTAAACTGAATAGAGTTCTGTCCTGTTGATGATCTGGGGAATTTCAATACTTTCCACGATGAAGGACAGACTTTGTGTTCTACGGACATCTCTAATTTTCAATGTCCAAAAACACTGCGAGTACAATCCCATCTCTGTGCATCCGACTGCCACTGAATGAGCGGATATTAAGATCAGAGGGTGAACCTTAGTCTGAAGAAGTGGTTCCCAAACCTTGTTCTGTGACATGTGACATGTTTTATGGATATTTCACATTATAATCAATGCAGAACAATAACAGTACAGAACAACTTACTGTACAATTAAACCAAATAGTGTGTAAAATTAGCAATTTGGATGACAAGGCTGTTTATCAGAAAGAGAAGGATCTGTGAAAGCATTTTGTGTTCAAAGCATCAAAGTTTAGATCTTAAATAACATAAAAATTGAATAAAAAAA